CGCACTGCTTTGCCCGATCGGCGTAGCATTTCGCGTAGGAGCCCCATTGATCGCAGGATCCCGCGGTGGCAGGGGCGGCAGAGGATACAGAGAACAAAAGCACCAAGGGGGCCAGCAGAAGAAGGGGTTGAAAACGCATGGTGGTTTTGGAAGGAAACTTGGTGGCTAGTACTGGAATTGAGGGAGGAGTTTGGTGGATACTGGAGTTGGGAAAGGAGCGGACAGCAACTCCTTCTTATACAGTCGGGTCCTCAGCCATTATCAATAGAGGCTTTCCGACCCGAGGCAGAAATTCTTTGTTACCTGCGATGTGGTAGGATCCCTTGGGGCTGAAGACTTGGAAGCAGACCTCGCCGCTTCGTCACTTGTAGACTAGGAGGGATTCTGTCGCCACGACTGAGAGTTATCTGCTCGAGGCGTAGCTGAGATGAGACATGCAGAGGTGTCAACAGGTATATTTCATCGAGCTTTCAAAATGTGGCTGCCTGCAACGTTCCAGACCGTGTCCATTACAGCAATTCCAAAGGTGCACAGGCTACATAATACAAGACGCTATTAGACGCAGGAGGTCAGGTCTTAGCACAATAATCAGCCACTAACAAAAGCAAAGAATAACATCAAATTACAGCGCTTTCGATAATTGTAGGCCGTTTGGCAGTTCTGAACTTCGAAAAGTATAGAGCTGACGGTCTGTGCTCAGGTGCATGTGGCGCAGTGGTAGTTGAGGGGGGGTGGGAGCTTTCGGGGTCTCCATAGTGCCCACGCTTCCCGGCATGTTAGGTTCTGTCTGCTACACATCGCTTGGGAGTTTCAACTTGCTGCATAGTACTCGATCTATTTTCTACAGCGTCGCTGCACAATATCATTCGCATTCGCTGCACAATCAAACGGTCTTTAGCAACCTCACCGGCTGGTCACAGCAGCAACAATCAAGTCGGTCGCATTTTTGGGAGCTGCGAGCTGTATTTTTGATCCGTTTTTCACACCTACGGCTGCAATTGACAACGCAATTTTGCAAGCTTTGGTTGCTTGATTTTTGACATATTTGCTAGCTGGTAACTACCATCTTCTACGCATTGTTGGAAGAGAACGCTTGATTTTTGACATCGTCGCACCGTGATAGCTACAATCTCGGTCGCATTTCTGGGTGCTGCATGCTACATAATCAATCAGTTTTTTACACCTACGGCTGCCATCTTGGACGCATTTTTGAAAGCTGCGAGCTACATGATCAGCTGGCACATTTTTACACCTCGGGTGTCATCTCTGACGCATTTTTGGAACTTTAAACTGGATACTTCACGATCCATTGTCACAACTACAGCGTCACTGTTTTGGGACAGCTCTTCAAGCTATAGCCAGCCGGTGCCGTTACGTTGTCATGGTTCACAGAGTCATCGCTTCCGAGGTCAAGCAGCTGATAGTAATAGGACTTGGGAGGGGGTTCTCCACTCTCGATGTCGCAAAATGGTTTAATTGTTCAGTTAGAACAGTGCGGAGGGTGAGAGAAAACTTCCGGCAATACAGTGATATTTCCCCACCATGCAACTCCCCTCGAGGCCGTAAGAGAATATATACTCGACAGGCGGTAGCATTCTTGTTGGGAGTTCTTAAAGCGAGACCAGACTCTTTTCTAGACGAATTACAAAATCTTCTGTTGGAACAGCACCCGCTCTACAATCAAGATGGCGAGCAATCAGTATGCTCGTTGTCTACCATACATGAAATGCTCAAAAGAGAAGGCATATCTGTCAAAAAATTATCGAAAATTGCCCGTGAACGCTCTGCTATACGCCGGGCTCAATACCAACTGGCGATAGCAAATTTTACTCGTGATCAACTGGTTTTTGTTGATGAGACTCGGAAAGATGAGAGAAACACGTATCGCAAGATGGGAAGAAACTTTATTGGTCGTAGGGCTATGTTACAAGCAGCGTTTGTGCGTGGAACCAGCTATTCCGTCCTGCCAGCATTGAGTACGAGTGGAATTTTAGCGGTCGGCATAGTAGAAGGCTCGTTTACAATGTCATCGTTTGAAAAGTTCATTCTTCACTCCGTAGTACCTACCATGGCCCCATTTCCGGCACCTAATTCAGTTCTTATTATGGACAATTGCCGTATACATCATTCAATTTATCTACTAAGAATTCTACGCGGGTTATCTATTAGAGTTGTTTTTCTACCGCCGTACTCACCAGATTTATCACCTATTGAAGAAGTCTTTTCAGTATATAAGAGTTGGATTAGAAGAAACGGTTCATATATCCGCACGTATCAAGGAAACCCAACAACTATCTTGACGACAGGCCTGTATGAATGCATAAGTTTAGAAGATATAGCAGGTTTCTATAATCACTGTGGATATCAATACATATAATACATTTCAATGCAGCGCTACTACTACTAGTTTCCCAATCATTTATATTGTATCATTACGACCAACCTCACGGCGTAGAAACAAACGTATTCCCATCCTATTGTGCCCCAATATACTGTCCAAATCCCTGTCCGACATACAGGGTAGTAAATCTGGTGTAATTCCTTGATCCTCGAATAAATCTTCCAAGCATAATAGTTTTCCCGCATAACGTGGGTGAAGATTTTCCAATTGGGCAAGAAATGCAGACATTGGAAGATCCAACAATTCTTTACGTCGTTGTGATTTACCAGGTGAATTTGTTGGCAAACTTACAGCCATTGACGCTGGTGTAGGTGTACTCGGCATCCCATAGTTTGGTGGATACCCTGCATACGGTGGGAGATGTGGGTACTGAAGGTATGGATTGACACCATATGGTATCGGATGACTAGGCCACAGACTTTTCGGAGGAGTTGTTGGTGGAATCGTAGGTTCAGGAACAGTCTTTTTGATGGAATTTTGCTTGCTAGGTAAGTTTCCGAACCAGTGGCACATGGGTGGAACACGCATAGTAACACCATCATGACTGTCTTTTAGAGCGCACGCCCAATATTTCAAGGTGTTTGGTAAAATACCTACATGTTCCCCATTAGGCTTTACATAACAACCATTTTTATTGGCATCATGCTCCGCACATGCATTGGCATCTGCTATCTGCGCAGCAAATAGATCTAATTCGCATTCCTCAGCCTCAGCATGCTCTGTAGCCGCTGCTGTTCTTCTTTGTTTGATGGGAGCTGTTGTTTTACGGCGCTGTCGGCGAGTGTTTTCCACAACATCGCTATCGTCCGCATCATAGCTGTCTCGCTTCTTGCTAGATACCACTTGAATTGTCACATTCCACTGCCCTTGCGTCCTCTTAGTTTTCTGGAATGATTGAATCATCTTTTTCATGGGCCGCAAGTCCCTGTCATGCGACAGATTGATTGATGATTCTCTTGCAGGCCAAGTATTGATACGATATTGTATGATCGCATTGCGAAATTCCTTCGCATGGAAATTTATTTCCCCATTGGAAGCCTCTTGAATTACCTGTCGCAGGTCATAAAGTGAATCAATCTCCGGATCGAGAGTAGAAAGATTGCTTCCAGCAGTACCTCGCGATGTATACATCACTTTCAGTGGCCAGTGTTCAGGTTGGGCATCACCGGAGTCCGATGGGGAAAGAGACAAGCCTCGAAGAACATTTGAACTCGGTTGTTTGGTTATGGACTTGCGCTGGGCTCTTGTAGCACCTTCAACACGATCATTCACTGCTACGACGGGTGAAACCACGGGGCCTGATGGTATTTCGGAAATTTTGGGACTATAGGGTGGAAAGTGGGGACGTAGCGGAATGGACTCAGAGGCAACAGCATGGCCATAATTAGGTGAATCTGCGTCAAGATAATTGTATTCCTCATCACCTTCCACTATGTCTGTAGCATTGCTAGCATACGCTGTCGTTGATTGCGTGTAAAAGTCTGGTGTAAAGATACGGGACGGCATGGGGAATGTTTGCTCCCTCAGTAGCTCTTCAGTTTGCGTCCAAGGAAAGCGTAAGTTCGTATTTTGGTGGTAATTACTGGATGATGGAACCCCAGCCCGCTCGCTACCGCTATTGTATAAATCATCGTGAGATGTCATCTTGCTTCAAGAATTGTGTGGCAGTAATTGCGGCCTCTCAGGGTGCAAAGGCAGCAACAGGAGTAATCAACTGTTACCAATCAATTAGTATACGGCAGCTTCCGGCAGAGGGCTTATGGGGGTGACCTAGTAACAGCTCTAATAGTATTCTGCAGCCTGAAGCTCCCAAAAAAGCTCCCAAGACCGTGCGTGATTGAAGAAACAACTTCAAGATTATGCGGCAGCTAAAAGCTCCGAAAATGCGTCGGAGATTGCAACGGGGAGTGTTTGATTGTGCAGCTTGAAGAGTCCAAAAATGCGGCCTAAATGGCAGTCGATATGGCAGAGGTGGTTGTCCGGATAGATGGATTACTAGGTAGCCTGAAGCTCCCGAAAACGCGACCGAGATTGTAGATGGATAGATCGATTATGCAGGTAAAGCTCCGGAGCGATGATGATGTGTAGCAGACATAACCAAACACCCACGGCCGTGCCAGGAAGTGGGCACCATTGGGGACCCCGAAAAGTCCAACACCTCCTACCTCGCCACATGCACTTGAGCACAGACCGTCAGCTCTATACTTTTCGAAGTTCAGAACTGCCAAACGGCCTACAATTATCGAAAGCGCTGTAAAACAATGAGTATTCCTTGAACCGTATGTTTAGGGTTATACCCCAAAGTTCATTGAAGGGCGGCGGGAGATACCATGACGTTGAACTTGTTTTGCTTTTTGCTGACATTGCTAACTTGACCTCAACCTCAGACCTCAACCTCAACCTCAACCTCAACCTCCTGAGCAGGTCGTCTATCACTCACAGATTTCCTACAATGCAACATTGAAACGATTCGGTAAATGTCATAACATCACTCCAGATTCCAGCTTACCCATACCGTTCCCAAAAACGTGATCCCAACCTACAAATTGTACGCTGTTGTGTTCAAAGCCGTAAATGACGTAGTGTCACCATCAAGCACGTCTGGTTGGCTCAGTTGGTAGAGCGTCGGTCTCATATCTTCAATGTCAAATATGACATCTGCTCAGCAGTTGCAATCCGAAGATCGCGAGTTCGATCCTCGCACCGGACATCTTTTTGTTTTTTGCTACTCCGCACTCACTTTTTACGAACTGGTGATACTTTTACTGGTTTCTGGCCCAATCAGTGGACGGGTCTGTGGCTACAAGCTGTTTTTTGGGAGAAACCAAGTTATTGGACAGTTTACTCATGTGAACTTCTCTATGGGACTAGCTAATTGAGCTTTGGAAGGCACGAAACACTGGAAAAGTAGTGCTCGAAGACGTCGCATTATCTCATTGATCATCACTGCTCTCTATCGACACGCTGTAGTCTACATGAACGCCTGCATCGCCTCCGCCAGCCCATCAAAGCTATTCTGCGTCTGCACCTGCTCAGCGCCGGCCACAGGCTTCACCCACTCAGGCCGATTCTTGACCCACAGCTCCATCGACGGTTTCCACTTATTCATCCTACACACCATCTTCATATTAGCCCGATCCCCAATATCCCCATCCCCGCGCGGGTAATTTGCACTCACTCTCCATCATCAAGCGACGACGACCGCAACAACCAGCACCCATCAATCCCCCCAACAGTGCCGTATAAACACACGCCACAATCTCCACAGAAATACTTTGTGCGCGCGTTTCCGCTCATCGTCTGCGTGGTAGCATAGCTCTTCAGCACCCCCTTGGGGTCTGAGAGTGTGCAAGTGGAGGAGGGGAGCGCCATGATCACGCTGTGTGTTGACCCGCCGTTCTTGGCGCAGTCGCGGCAGAAGCAAGACAGCACGCTGATTGGCGGCGCGGTGAAGGTAATGTGGATTGCGCCGCAGAGGCAGGAGGCGGGGCCGGGGGCGGCGGGGGCATGCATTGTGTGTTGTAGTGTTGTGGTGTAGTTGGTGGTATGGTATGTGGATGGTGGGTGAGTGAAGAGATGGAAAGATGGAGGGATGGAGAGAGGAAGAGCTCGGGTACATATAGATAGTGTGCGGGGGATCTGGGCCCCGGCCGCTAGCTGCATAAGCTAGCCGGGAGCTACTCCGTGCTGTGTAAGCAGCAACCGGGTATTTTCGTCGTTGCTCGTGCGGTACAGACAGCGTGATACCTGCCGAAATCGATGCACAGGCGGGGCGGCAGCAGCACGCAGAACCGGTCAATGAATGATTAGTGTCCCGAGGTCCGCGGTCCGGGATGGCCTGTGGTCGATATTCGATATATAGTAGTAGTAGAGTTTTTGTACAACGTTTGATGTTGCAGCAATTAATACCTATTTAGGTGACCGGATAGCTATTTCGGGCAGTCAGATGTTCGGGACTCGGAGATCAAGCTTGGAGTATAGCTGGCTTCATAGCTATGCATGTATGTTGGTTTTGCTTCGCCGTATGGAAACGTGGTTTCGACCTCCGTTGGCCGGGACGTGCTTCGCCATCTAGCAAGCTGTTGGCCTGTAGACAACCTCATGCACTTCATAGACCCCCTCACTGCCAAATCCATGCACTCCAAATTATCAACCATTTATCCAGGGCCCAGGAACTCCAAAGCTTTGTAAGCAACCAGTGATGCTGCCAACTCGACGTCAAGCGGGCTGCGATTGGCCCGATATTATAGAGGAACCGTCATATAATTCCATCCATGGTGCTTCCAAAATATTGCTTGCTTATTTATTCACTATATCTGCACCCGACCTTATCTGCAAAACCTCCGTACTTACTCCGTGGAGAAGCACCCACGCCGGCGTCCAATTCGGCCGCAGAATGTAATCCCAACTGGAACCGTATGGTAGTTTCTTTCAACGCAGTAAGAACGCGGCATGCGACGGAGCCAGCTTATCAATTCTCTCCCGCCGGTTGTTTGAGGGGTCAGAAGTGTAGGCGAAGTTTCACTGTCGGATTTGGTCTAGACGCCAAAATGAGAATATCAGAGCATGATGCAAGAAGGAAGGAGAAACTCTGTAGTTCCTGCAAGCACACATGCCAGACGAGGAGTTTAGAATTTCAGTGCAGAATAACCACCGAAGCCTTATTGTCAGACGCCAGTGGTCTTGTAAAGCACGATCCCTGGAATAGCCATGACTACAAAGAGAATAAGATGTGATCATGTGATGTGCAAGTTACAGCGAGTGAGCAAGCTCGGCCTCAGAAGCAAACAAAATATTGTTTGACCTCAAACTGCTGACTAAGCCTTCTGCCAAAACTTGTCCACCGGCCAAAGACCTCTTGGCACTCCCTTACTCCCATCTATATAACCCCCCCTTCCCCCACACCCCATCTTTCCTCCCCCAGCTCTCTTTGCCTTTTGGCTTAGATCAAGTGTAGTATCTGTTCTTTTCAGTTTAATATCTGGAATGGCACTATCGGTGCCTTTTGTTATTAATCGTATTTTTGGACTGTGGTGGCTGGCCGCTGTGCTTGCACATGCTGGATGCCAAAGTGTCGCTGGTATTGCACTGTCTCCAGTTGATGCGAACATCGCTTTTTTTTTCATTGCTGTCCTGGCCGGAGGCGAGGTGGTGAGGAAAATGGAAACCGTGATGCCCACGAAACAGATGTAGATTGTGGCTGATTTGCTGGTCACTCGATTTATCAACTATCTATAATGTACCTAATAGCTTCATGTGGCAAGCAGAGGAGTAATAATTGTACTTCTCGTACAACTGAGCGATCATAGGGATATACTAATCTATCCATCTTGCAATACAACGCTTTTGACATCAAGTATATTCAAAGCTCCTGTAAAGAGCCTGCATTCATTCATGCATACATCATGTAATCATCATCAAATAACCCACTTGCAATATAGCACATACCAAAAGAGTACAGCTTTGTAAGATAACGCCTTGCGCCCCGCCTCCCATCAAACATCCAAAATTTTATCTTCCACGTCCACCCCCTCCACCCCCTCCTCCTCCAGGACCGCTTCCACCACCACCACTGTTGCCATTTCCCGCACCCAGAACATCTCCAAGCCACTGTTCCAAAACTGTGTTCAACCCACGGCCGGCATATACGTTTTGGCCTTGGTCGGGACTGGCGCCCTCTTCACGGTCAAGCTCTGGTGCTTGGTCGCGCATTTCGCGTTGGCCTTCAGCTGCGTTTTGAGGACCGAGACCACCAACATATCCCAGGTTCTGCATAAACTCCGGTATGCCGTTCTGCGTCCTGATGTACGTCAGTATATACTATCTAGAAGTCGGAGATGTAACTTACCATGGTAACGATTCTAACATTGCCATTTCGTCGTCAAAGACGTCCGAATCTGGACTGGCGGAATCCTGGGGCATGGAGAATAGAAGCCCTGTCATGGACGATGCAGTTTGGGTATTGATGTTACTAGCATTTAAGTCCTCTTCTCGTATGGACATGGAGAAGGTCGATGGCCGGTCCATACTTTGGGGGGCGATGGTCGACGAGGACGAGCCGTAGAAACTTTGATCGCTTGTAGGTAAGTTAATGACACCGGCACTGGAACTTGGACCTCCGACAACTAGAGGATAAGGAGAAGGCGAAACCTGATCCGGTATCGAGAATCCTCCCGGTGAGGTTTGCATTTCGGGACCTGTTGAAAAGCCAGTGTGCGAATGGGACAATGGTTGGATTTGCTCTTTAGGCTGCTGCAGTAAATCCAGGGGGCTCGCAAGTTTTCTAAGCAAAGTTTTACTAGCCTGAAGGTTGTACATATGCAAGCTCGCAAAGTCTTGCTTAAAAGTCCTTAAGCTCTGGAGGGCAAGGTTGTCGATTTGGTTGGTAGCGTCTGCAAGGTGTACAAACGTGCATGGCGCAATACCAAAGGGCTGACATGATCTAAATGTCTGTAGCACAGTTGCAGTCGCCGTTTCCTTGACTCTAGCGGCATGTGTTGCAGCCGGTCCATAATCACCACTGGGAAACCCATCTGGCACGCATAATATTGCGTATGAATATAGTAGATGCAAGTTCGCCACGTGTGGAAGAATAGATAAACCAGGGGCAGGTTGCTTCAAAGTACATTGAGGTGTGAGCTCATGAAGCCATATTTGCAATTTCTGCAGAGAGTTTTCGGCGTCTGGTTGGCTTATCGGAGTGCTGGAGCGGGAAGATGCTCGGCCTCGGCTTTCGGATTCACCCCTGAAGATTCTTTGAACTGCAATACGCCGTATGATCCCGGCTAGCCTCACCAACTGATTGAAGACTGACAGCATATGAGCTGGGACATTGGTATCATCCGTGCTGCCCATATTCTGGCTAGTTGTACCCATTTTCCACACCCCTCGCCATTCATCCCACTCTTCCCAGCCATCTTCGGGGATACTTAGTATCTTCCAATCAGCCTCATTCACTAGAGGCGCCCTTCCAATGAATAAAGATATAAGACTTTCGAGTATCAGGTAGCCCATCCACGTTCTCCTAGCGAATGAAGATACTCCTGGAGCCCTTATTCCAAGCTCAACAGATATTCGGCCTGCATGTCCGATAATGTACCATGCTGTTTTAAGCTGTGATTGGGAAATGTTGATGAGAGAAAGTATTAGAAGGGCCTGAACATGGTGCAGAGTATACTCCTCTGATGTAAAGATCAGATCCTGTGATTGTTTGTATAGTTTTCCTGACATGGCCTGCCGCCTTAATGCTTGTTTGGCTTTGTCGTTTTCAGCTGCTTGGAATGCCACAATTTCTTGCTGCAAAGACGCCTGAGATAACACAGCATATAGTAATGCTCGTTTGGCTGGTGTTACCGGCTGTACTGATGGATTTGCTTGTTTGGATTGTCTGTTGATGGTGTGGTGAAGCCGCACCACATCATACTTATCAAGTATGGGAAACCAAATGTGGGTGTAGGAAAAGTAATTATCCAATAGTTGCCGAGAATTTTGAGGTAACTGGAAGCTCTCATCATCTAGCCGTAGCAAGGATGAAAATGCGGCTGGTATACCTGTACTATCGGCTTCAGATCTTGGTTGATGTAGTGGTCGTTGAAAAGAATCCGCTGGACTCTGGTGGGGTGTGTATCCTGGTGCTGCCGAAGGGCTCGATGTGGCCTCACTAACAGGAATAGCGGATAGAGAGGGTGGAGAAAAAGCGAGGTTGCGACG